GCTGTTCCAGTCAACCTTGTGAAGAAGGTATCACCACATCAGTGGAGTCATCTTGAGACCTCCAGACCCCAACAGACCAACCCAGTTGATCCCACATGGATCAGATGCAAACTGTACCTAAGCTTCAAAACCATGTAAAAGCAAGTGCTCATTATTATTTCTCTATGCCATTAAGTTCTGGGGTAGTTTGTCACAAGCGCTAAATGACCAAAGGGTAATTTGGTCAGTTACGCTAAAATAGTCGAAGTGGCTAGATATGATGACATGGCCGCAGAGAACTGAAGCACTGAAAATGCAGCAATGGGCTCGGTGCTGGTTCCGCTGCCTCTTCACCTGACTGAGCATGAACTTAAGGAAGTCCCTTAAAGTCTACAAACTTCCTTTAGAAAATAGAAATAATGACAGCTACCTCACAGGACTGTTTTGAAGACTGTATCAAATAGCCAACAAAAATCATGTTTGAAAACTTTAAGCGTTATTCAGACAAATGGGTTTCTACGATCACGTTAGCGTGGCCCTACAGAGACACATGGCACTGCCACCTGCTTGGAGTCACTGCCATTCTGCTTACCCTCTTCTGAGCAATAGCTTTCTATTAATAAGTTTCTCTTAAGGAAAAATTCCAAGTAGCTTAAAATTTCCTAAATGAAAAACAGTACAGAAAGTCACCAAATATTATTAAAGAAATGGCAAAATGAATATTATAACAGGCATTTCGTGTCTGTAAATGTTATTTCTAGTTTATTTTAACAGCTATACTAAAACTCCATGGGACAGTTAATAATATTATATGTATTCTGTCAAAAATAAGAAAATATCTTCAAACACAATTTCTAATTTATAAGCTTATGACAAGTTCAAGCTGCTGAGAAATTGGACTTGAAAGTATGTCTTCGAATGATAGAAGACCACTATTAACACTATCATAATTGTATACCTAGTGCATCAAATCTGACATTTCACTTTAATAAATTTTGAGGAGAGAGCATACCATTTTATGGCTTCCTAGTGAAATCAAATCCAGCCCAGACGTTTTACTTTTCTAATGTAATTCACTGCAAGGTTTTAAAGCTGCCATCTCCTTTCTTCCTTTTTTTCCAAAAGATTGATGTTCTGGCATTCATTAATTCCACAAGAGCTCATAATGGGTCAATGAGTCAGTGGCGAGCACCTCCATTAACTGTATTAATTTACACTATGTCACCTTAATGACATTTTGTCATGGCTACCTTTTCTGACATCTACATAGCTATTCAAAAAGTAATATAACAACTTTTGAAGGCATTAAGGAGATTTAGTATAAGAACTTGAGTGAGTTGAATGTCATCATTACCAAGGCTGTAGTAGAGGAGAGAAATAAAAAATAATAATAAAGTAAAAATGAACTGATCAGACCCCACTCCGGAGACCTTTCTCCTGAAAGGTCACTTCAGCAGCAAGCCTGCTCTCCAGCTTGTGTTCATTAGCACAGGCAGAGACTGACATTAATAGAGAGAGACAGAATAAAACCATTTCATGCATTCAAGTTCTCTCTTATATGAGTATCTGACTAAGTTAGTAGATATTGCAGAGGTATTTTTCTTTTCTGGGAATGGAAGCACATTTCCTTAAAAAAAATATTATATGCTGTGTTTTATTTAACAGCTTAGGGATAAAAAATGAAAGCTTAGATTTAAACACACGTTTAGCAAAACAATTAATACTCTTAGTAACATATTCTTCGGTGCTAAGTAAGGTATTATTTCAGAGAGAAACAACACTGTATACTTTCATCAATTCATTTAATCATGCATTTAGAAAATTCTCAAGTTAGCACTAGTTATTATACAAAAAAACTTATCTTGTAACATTCCTTTCATGAAAACCCTTGATTCTGATGTTATGAAGAGAATGATGAACGTACTATTTGGTTGGCACATACACATACAAACACACATTAAATGAAAGATGACAAAGCTATGACACTGCGAAGTCATACTTATAACTTTCTGCAATTTCTAAGATCTTTTTCAAATCAATAAGAAAAAGACCCAATTGAAAAATGGGCAAAAGATATGACTCACTTTACAGGTCAATAAATACACAGAAAATGTTCATCTTCACTGAGAAAAAGGCAAAATAAAATAAAGACAACTCCATATTTCATGTACCAGATTATAAAAGCTTCCTTGGTTACCTCAACAGTGATGATGGGAGGAGATGGGGAAGGAGCCACGTGGGCATACGGATGCAGGGAGTCAGTTATCATTTTGAGGGATGATAATCTGGCAAAATCTTAAAACATTAAAAATGTTTGACCTTTGACCCACCAGTCCTCTTAAGAGGAACTGCCCCTTATACACATCCATAAGATGTCTGAGCGAGGATGTTCACTGCAGCCTTGTGTTTATAATACCAGAGAGAAAGACAGACAAACTGTCCATCCACAGGTGATTGCATAAATAAATTACTGTGTCTGTATATAGCACGCAGCCTTTAAAACAAAGGGCTGGGTCTATGCAGTGAGATAGTCAGCATATATTATCACACAGTATGAAAGGTTCAAGACTGGTGGTGAGGGAGAAGTGAAAATGAGAGCAATTATGTGTACTATCTTTTTTTTTTTTTTTTTTTT